CGTTTAAGCCGCGCATTGATGACGGTTTGTCGTAAGTCGTCTGATACCTATAATAAAATCAGTTAATAATCATTGAGTCACCCAGTCTCCTGTTTTATGGGGGTGTAGGTGTTGGTAGTGCCATCTCTCACACACACACCCTAGTCAACCATTTAAGAACATTTCCACTCCTGCTTAATATTGTCTTTACATTTTTTTAGAGTTGCTGAAACTAACGCGAGGGAAAACAGCGGACCTCATGAGACTTCGTGGGACTTCATAAGACTTCAGGAGACTCCACTGGATTTCATGATACTTCAAAAGACTTCGAAAGGCTTCATGAGACCTCATAAGACTCCATGATACTTCATAAGACTACATGAGACTTCAAAAGACTTCCTGATGCTTCAAAGACCCCATCAGACTTCAAAGATTTCATCAGACTTCAGGACGGAAGTTTCAATTGTTCTTCCTTGGAAAAAGTGTTTAAATATCTATATTTAAATAGCTTTCATCGACTTTTAATGTCATGAGAGAGTGCATATATGGGAATCTTATCTCACTTACAGCAGTATTGTATAATAACAACAGAACGACAAAATTCACTTGCAATGTGTGTATGACATTCAGGGTTACATTGTTTTTTTTTCAATTCTCTTAGATGTTCCATTTCGACTAAAACAATTTTATTGAAAATTCAATGAAAACGTATTTCAATCTAAATAGGCTGGTAGTCTGTTCGCAACAGTAGCAGTTCTATTAGGTTTTATCAGATATTTGAACACTTCTCAAATGATTTCTAACAATACCGTCAACTTATGCACTACAATTTTCGGTACTGCGATATAGTATGAGTCATAAATTCTATTCAAGTTTCAGCATCTTTCCAAAAAGAAATTCACTAATATGTATAGACGAAGTCACTCTCGACCGAGCACATAGATCGATTGAAAATATTTACTTACTTTTCACTTCATAATGCTGAATGTTATTAATATTCCTATTCATAAAAGTACACCGTATAACTTTTGTCTTGTACATATATTAGCTGATTTTTCACATGTCATATTCGATCTTTTTATTCAGCCAGCATATAGTACAAAGAAACCTAACAATTTTATATCATGCCATGATATTGGAAAAAAATTTTACCAACTTGGAGCATTTTAAGTAATTTGTGGACCACTTTCTATTGGATGAATGGTTACGTCTTTCAGCCTATTGGTGTTCGTAGTAACTGCACATCGATTTTACGGAATACAGCTAAGTGCGTACCCATTTTCCTCCTTCCTCCACCACTTTAGAAAACTTTCAATTTTTTTTCAACAAAAATCGTATTTTTTATTAGAAAAATAATCGTAAAATAAAAAAAGAAAGTTTAACGTCCTTCACTCTTATCAAATTGTATATACACTTTTTCAGTTCTCAAAAAATATTCTTGCATCCATATCCCACTTTTTTCTCTTCATCACATCCCTAGTTTCATGAAAAATATATTATCTTCTAATACTTTGCTCAAAAATAATTATGAGAAGAAAATATGAAATATTTATTTAGTAAACAGGATGCCATTTGTGAAATCTAACGATCAAGAGTATATTTGAATATTCTAATAAATGTTAGTTTAGCTGATCATCTTCATATTTTCTAAGACTTAGCGATAACTCTGACTATGATAGCGATACCTTATCTAGTGATACAACATTGAAAGAACATGAATCATTATATAGACCTTTTTTAATTTATATACGACTAACTGCAAATATATGTTGACATGAATATGTATCATTTTATAAATATAAAGAAAAATACAGTCTAAAAATAGAGAAGAAACAAAGTTCTTTTTTTTTGACGAATGATATTTCATGACGTTTCAACCTGATAAAAGCTAAGGAACAGGATCACACGGGAAAATTAAAAAAAGAGCAAAACCAAAGGAAAAAAAAAATTTCTTTTAATTTCCTTTGAGAAAGTTATTTTCCATTATTGATACGTTTTTCAGAATGTTCATTCTCGATCTTCATATTGAATATTTTCCAAATGTCCATGGTTGTGATAATCGATTGAATGTTTCCTTTTTAGATTCTTTCAAATTTCGAACAAGACGTAATGCATTGTTAACATCATGACGAGCTTGACGCTAAGTTTTTCAATAGAATAAATTTATTTTATGAAAAAAAGAAATATCAACTTACAGTATTTATATCAAAATGAAACATTCGAGGAGCAACACCAGCTTTATCTTGTAAAAGCCATTCTCGATTTTTATTAATCAGAAATTGATTCTCGAAAAGTTTGTCTACTGTGTCATCATTCATTGCTTGTAAATCACTAAATAATTCATTTATAAATAACTCTATATCACTAAAAATACTTACTAAGCCCTTTCAATATTGTCTTCAGCTTTCCAAGTACTTGGCTTAGCATCAACAGACTTTGACAGACCAGTATATTTGACACCAACGTCTGTAACACCATCTTTTTCAAATTGAACATACTGAAAAAGAATTTAATACATCAATAAGTGTCTTTTTTTTTGTCAAAATGAAAATAAAAAATGGATATTCAAAAGATATATGTTCACTTCTCTTTTTATTGCATTAATTAAATTATTATGAACAAGAACGAACTAGATAAAAATATTCGATTGTTATTTTGCACAAAACTAGGGTATAGGAGAAAAAAAAGAATTGTCTATGTAGAAGAATAAAAATGAACGTCAGTGGATTACACGAACATGTTTGAGCCATTATTGGGAAGAACGGTGCATATATATATGTATGTGTGTGCATATGTGTGTGTATGTAGATAATAGTAGTTCTAATGATAGCCGGACTGAAATAAAAAATCTTTTTCTCATAACTATATAATATTCTTAAGAGAAAACAAAATGTTTCATATAGATTTTTTTTAGTAAAATATTTATAGATATAAAACACTTACCGTTCGACCAAAATAATCACGTGGATTACTAAGTCTTGAAAGACTAGTACTGCCAACACGTGAATCAACAGTACGTCGAACATCTTCTCGGGCTCGATTTAATAAATTATCACCATAACTGATTGTTGAATATGTTGATGGTGTAGCAAAACGTAATTGCCGTAATTCACGTGAGTAATCAACATCACGCATGGCACGTTTTAATGATGTTACACGATCAATTGCATCATTAAAACGATAATTATATGATGAACCAATGCTTGATTGTGAATAAAGTGAAGGAGAACGATAAGAATAAAGTGGTCGATAACGCCAATCATCATATGGAAAATGATAATAAAAGGTACGTGGTGCAGTATGATACCAATAATAAGGTCTATAATGAGAATAATGACTATCGAGAGCAATCGGTGTTTTATCTCGAATGCGCTCTGTATAACGATCAAAATAATCAAAATCATGTGTACCATAAGCCGAATAAGGTCGTCGTGCTTTTAAATGATTAAAATAACCTACCGATGGCGATCGATAATATCGATTATAACCTCGACCACCGAGTATTTCCTCATCGATATCCTTAGATCGAGCTACAGAAACAGCTCGAGAAGAACGAGATATTGATCCATACAAATCTGGTGTATAAATATTGAGACGCGTTGAATAGGCGCCTCCACCAGTGCCTTCAGTACCCGACCCATAGTCATAAATAGATGGGGTCGTCTCCCGCCCTGGTGTCGTACCACGGAGACGACTCAAAGAACGGGTCCGGCGTAACATACTGATCTACAAATAAGGAGTATATTTTATTCAAAATAATACTATTGTCTATAGAATCATATTGATCTTTGAATGTTTTTTTGTTGATATTTTTCTTTTGACGAAATCTTATATCATATCAAGAGAAAGGATATATACGTTTAGATAAATATTATCTTATACAAAATTCTATGGACAAATTGAAGTTTGTTTTTCAATTTTATTTTCTTTATCCTATATCTAAAGAATTTTGTCAATAATATACTCACAGATACCAGTTTCCCATCTAGTTTTGTGGGATAGTATGTATTCGTACATGTAGAAAAGAATGTACTGTATTTATGGTCTGTAAATATCCTTTCTATGTTTTTTTCTTTTTTTCTTCTTGATAACTAACATAGTCGAATTGTTTTCTGTGTGGTTTTTCTGCCCATTTCTCTCTTTCCTATGATCGTCCTTGTGAATGACAACAACAGATATTACCAACCATAAGCCGCACAGGAAAGAGGAAAATCAATACATTCTATTTAGTACTATCATCGACGTCGACACCATTACTTGGACAGAAAAACAACTCAAATATTATCACGAGGACAAAAACGACTTGTTTTCTTGGTTTCATACTTATTTTTCTATCAGAAAATATCGCATCTAGCACAAAGAAAAAGAATGCCACCCAAAATGTTTTCACTCCCACAAGAGAAAAAAAGAGGAAAAAAAATAAACGACACTGAGTTGTTTTCGGTATTATCGTATGTGGTTATTCTCAAATAGTACAGACGCATTTAGAAAAGTATACATAAAGACAACTAATAACACATCATACAGAATAATTGCTTTAAATAAATCTCAAAGGACATGTTCATGAAAATGATGTTGTTTCGTTTCGTATAAATAATCGAAAAACAAAAAAAAATCTTGTTCTATACATTAAGCAATGGATATTTATATTTATAACCACCAATGAATATGTCTAATAAAAGTCTCCGATGTGGTGAATGACATTACACTTGTATAGAGATGAAAAGAGACGACATCAAAATGATATCTATTTTTGATATCCTTAGACAACAGCTAACAAAGCAAATTGAGAGCTTGTTGGCTCTCCATATAATAAATATAACTTAAACCATCATTAATTACATGTATATGTTAGTAACATCACAAAATTCATTCTTATTAGATGAGATATTAATTATAACAAAATAAATGAAATATTAAAATAAAAGAATAAAAAAAAAAAACTAATAAATATTTGTTTTCTTCAATACAAAAAATATTCTTTAATTAAATTATAGAAAAAAAAAAAGATTTTTTTTTCTTTATTTTGGTTGTTCATCACTTGATCCTGTTTTCGGTTGAATAACAAGTTGACCAGCTGTATTAGGCACTTTAACAATCATAACTTTTGTTGTTGGTTGTTGTACAATAACTTTAGCTGTTGGTATTGGTACACGTCGTAAAATAATACTTTCTGTTATATTTGATCGTGGATTAGCTGAAACATCTGTTTGAGTTTGAGTAGTATTTGAATATTTTAATGAACGATCAATAACTGTATGTGGTCCTATTTTCTTTGTCTTTTTATCATTGCCTTCTGTTTGAATAGCAATTGACTCTTGTCGAGGTACTTGTGACATAGGTCGAATTTGTGTTGAAAATCCATCAACTTTACGTGTTGAATACATACATTGATGTGTTCTTGGATGTAAACGATTACAACCAGGACAAAATATAAGATCATTATTATTAGTTTGTAATTGTAAAGGTTCAATTGATTGATTGCGTATTGGTGATGAAGCTGTTTCACGTGTTTTAATTTCAGATGTTGAATGAATTATAGCAGATTGAGAAAGATTTTTTTTTTCTTCCAATGGATCTTGACGAATAATACTATTATTTTGTGTTGAATTATCAGGTAGATTTTCAATATCTATTTGACTATCATCACCAATATCACCATAATAATCATCTATATTAAGAGTAGTTTTTTGTTTTTTATATTGCCATGGTCTTCTACGTGCTTGTTTAAATATAGTTATTAAAATTAAAATAACACCAATTATAGATGTTAAAACACCAAGTACAATACCAGCAATTTTCCATCCTTTGGTACTATCATCGTCATCTGTATTTTAAGATTAATTTTTATTTTATATCACAAATTAATTTCAAATAAAAAAAAATAAAAAAAAAATATATAATGACTTACTAAAATAAATACTACAAACAGCTATTCCACCTAGAATAAGAAAAATAAGATAATGAATGATAAATATTGAAACAAACCTGCACCAATTAACACACAAAGAATTAAAAAACCATATAGACATATGAGGCCAACTAAATCAAGGCCACTTGCAAATTTTGATCGTTTGTATCGGTTTTCTTTAGCTTCTTTTCTCTTTTGAATTGTTCGCTCTGATATTTTAGGAGTGAATTTCTATAATATATTTAAAAAAATTTATTTGAAAATAATTTTCAAATTTCATACATACAGTATTCGTTGTTATTATGACTGGTTGAGTAGTCTTTTGTTTATTACCTCGTGGTATTGGCTGTTGCATTATTTTTTTTTTTGAATTTATGGATGAATAGAGAAGCACGTAAAAAATGTAATTCTTCAATAGACGGTTGTCCTTTTCTTTTCTTTTTTTCCTTTTTGTTTTCTTTTTTTCCTTTTTGTTTTCTCTTTTTTTAGTTGCTATACTCTAAAGAAATGTTTACTGATTACTGAATGTGACTTAATGCTTTATAAAAAAAACATACCGATCAACACTTAACAACAGTGTCCTTTAATGTAAAGCGTAAGAGAAAAAAAAAGATTTTGTTTATACAGAATAAATACAGTAAAAAAAGAATTTTAACAAGATTAGTTATATTAATTCATCATATCGTATTATTGTTTTATCTTTATTTTGAATACAAAAATATGTTAAATATGATTTATTAAACTTCGATGAGATATAACTTATGGAAGAAATTTAGAGATTTCATAAAGCTATTTGACATATTATTATAAGCTAATAATAATAATACAAGAATATATTATTAGATCCTATTAAATAATTTTTTTATACAACTTTGTTATACATTAGATTACTTCATTGCATAGAAAATGTATAGTCTAAAAGCATTCAAGAAGATTAGAATTAAATAAACTTAAATTAATTCATTTGCATCTAAATCAAATATTACTAATGGAAAAAAAAAAGAATTTTTATATCATTTAACAAATAATTGCACAATATAAATAAACAACATTTGACATTACTAACTTATTAGATATCATAGAAAACAATAAATGTGAATAAATATCTTACGAAATTCGAGATCGTCTGAATTTATTTAGCAAACATAAATTAAGTTTTTTAAAAAATCATTAATAAAATTGAACAATGAATAGAATTAATAATAATATAAGTCATCGCAACATAAAAGCTTGTTTTATTGAAAAAAAAAAATTTATGTCTTTTTATTCAATATTCCAAAGATAAATTCAAGAAAAAAGAAAAAATAATATTTTTTTTATGTCAAACATATCGATTAACAGCAAGTAGTGCTAGAGCACCGAAGAACACAGTTATCGTTAATTTTGATGTTTTACTTCCTGTATTGCAATAACTACTCGTGCAACAACAACTGTATATTTGTCGGCCTGTTGTACTCTCAGTTAACCATCTACATCCACGGAAGTAGCAAAGACCATATTCAGCTGGACCTCGAGTGGCTAATGCACCATGCTGACTAGACGTGCTTTTTTCTATATAAATGGAAACGAGAAATGCATATGATCAGCACTATCAAAATCGATAAATTTTCATATACTTACAGCCCAATATCCACTATCGGATGGGACCTCCCTAACAGATGACGCATATGGGTTGAATGGAACGGGACAGTTTGCGCAGAAATAACAGGTAAGACCACTAGCACTGCCTATAATGAACATAATCGATTTAATATAATATAATAAATAAGCCTCTCACCAAGACAGATTATCAATAATGTAAGTAACACAAGTAAATTGTTCATATTTTTCTTATATCTGAGAGATATATTTTGATATAATTCAAATAGTCAATCTTTATAGAAGACACTACTAGTTAGATAATGTTTAGTTTCTTTTTACTTTTTATATATTAATCACAACAAATATTGAGTCAAGATATACAAGTGAATTAGACGTAATTACATTTTTCCTTATCTCGTTTTTGCCTTTATCAACTAGAAAAAAAAAACCGCCCAATTGATAATAAAAGAGTTCATAGAGTGAGTTTCGTTTGCCAAACAAAACAGGATGCTTGCAATGGTTGCTAATAGAAAGTATTCTTATTTATCAAATTATGTGTTTTAAATTATTAAAAAAAAAAAGATACTTCATTGTTTTTCTTATCAGATTATATGTTTTGGTAGAAACATTATGAAGTTTATTCTTCGAATGTGTCAATACAATTTAGTTGTATTCATTATGAAATGATCTTTTAATACATGAAATCAGCGTATATCTTACAAAACTTAATTCTACTCATTCACAGATGATGAGGGTGTGGATGTGGTTTTCCAGACGTGGGGCTTGTAGTGTCAATATATGATTTATCCAGATAGCCTTGTCTTAATGTTCTGAATTCTGGAGATATATGAATGTGGAGTTGTGTATCCATTTCGTTACACTAAATTTACTCAAAATCATTAATTTCTCGGCATATGGGCACCACAAATTTATTAACTAAATATGCCAATAGCTATGTTGTGAATCTCGATACTCGAATTATGAATATTATGACATTCCTCAATGAAATCGATTTTTTTTTACAGGAGAACTTATTTTATAGCGAGAAATAAAGTCTCGATCGATTTGAAAATAATCAGAATAAATTTATAATTTATTGATGACAAATTTATCAGGCATATATATATGTATTATCAATGATACAACTGTTTTGTAAATTAGTGATGTCACTTTATCTTTACCGTATAAGATAAATATAAATACAATCTTTATATTTATAAAATAAACAATAAAGAAAGATTTCTTTTTATGATAGGTAAATAGACAAATACTTAGTATAACAATAGGATATATTAATTAATATATTCTTTTTTTTTTTAGTATCAACATCATTTCGATATGTGATGTTATTAAAAACGAAACTGATACATGAAAAAATGTATGCAAAAAAACTTTTTCGTATATTTTATTTGTGTCTATGATATAATAAAATTTTTCTGAGTTACCTAGTAAAAATTAAGTATTAGATTTTCCTAAAAAGAAATTTCTTCATTATTTATTTTACAATTATAAACATTTTCTGTGTATCTATTTTATTAATATAAAGATTTTATTTATATTTATTATCTATTATAAAGAGCAATAAAAATAAATTAACACGTAGTGATGAACGTGATCAATCATTTTTGATCCCGATTTCGGTCAAAAAAATATTGGTCCCGATATCCCGGCAGAATTGGGACTGTCTTGCATATATCATATCTAGTAACATCTATTCGTAATTGAAAAAACACAAATTTGAATTAAGATAGAATTTGTTTTTAATTAGGTACAAAACTACGAAAAAATAATTTTCTTTTGTTTAAAAATATGTTCAAATTTTTATTTGCATTAAGAAAACATGACATGTATTTTTTTTAAAACTAGACAGAGTGGTTATCTGCACTAATTCATATTGTAATGTAGGTACTAATGACTTCTTCTATGTTGACATTGGATAATGGTTTTCGAAAGTATTTCTATGAGCAAACGAATTAACATTTTTAAATTTTTGAACTATTAAATTCCGGAAGATGACAGTTATTATTCTATTATCAGGAATATATAAGCTAAAAAGTTTTCAATTCTTTTGTTGAAATATAATTCAACACAGCTTAATAGCATAATATATTTGCACTTTACATATCATCTATGAATCACGTTGAATTCGAAGGTAAATAAACATCGGTAAAAAATGTTACTCAAAAGTCATAAGCATAAAGATCTTCACTTTTTTTGTGCTCGAAGTTTGCTAAGACAGACTAGATTTCAATTGAGAGCATTCGCGAATTTTACAACGTCCTAGATTAAACTAGACTTCAATTAAAGTTGAATATAATAAAAGTCACAGCTGACATGAGAATTTAGTTGAATTTGGAATGCATGAATTAATTTTAAAAATTCTCTTTAAAAAAAATTACAATAGGAATAAAGCTTTATAAAATGATGGACTAATTGATGTAGACAAGAGTTCACAAAATAATGTTGTATTAAATACATTGAATAAAAGATTCTAATGTTTTTTCTATTACTGATACGAACAAAAAAAAAAACAAACGATTCTTGTAGTGTATACATTTCAGTTTTTCTGACTGCTCTATTTCAATTACTGTCAACTAGAAATAGATATCGATTGTATTCTTTTTTTGTTGGAGTTATTTTAGAATTCTTTGTCTTTTTTCTTTAGTTGAAGTCTACTCTAATCACTTTTTTTTTTATTTGATAAGATTTGTCGTCTATTTCGTTTCCATTTTGATAATATTAATATGAATAGTAAAAATCAACGGAAATAAAAGGTTAATTGGTATGTTATCAAAAAGATTCGATCCAAAATTTTACCAAGAACAATGCTGTGTCATGTGTTATTGACTATACTACTATTTAACTAGTAACTTTAGCTTGTAATTTCATTGGTGCTTACAACGATTCATTGTGCTTTAATATGATAATTATGAGATAAACATATGGTGCAATGTATCATTGTTTTTAAAAATCGCCCACACCAACTTTCTGCTCATATAAATAAATACTTTAAAAAAATAACATTTTTTCAAAAACTTTCACGAATTGTTTAATGTTCTCATATTCCCAAAGTAAAAAAATACATTGAAAATAGTTAATCGATACAAAAAAATAAATCGATCTACTCCCTATTGAAATTCCACCAATCATTCATTGTCTTCATGTCCTTGAAATAAAAGAAAAATATATCGAAAATACGCACTACAACAAAAAAAGCAACAATTTATTTACATTTATTAACGATTGAAATTTCATCAATCATTTAATGTCTCTATATTCAAAAAATAAAAATAAAATACTATTGAAATATGTATTCTATTGAGCAAAATGAATATAGTCAACTTATATCGTTGTTGATACATAAAATATTTTAATTCATATAACTAAAAAGAAATCTTTTCTAGGTAATATAAATTTTGTTATGCATATTAATGAACGATGATCAATATGTATACAATAAGGAAAAATTAGTAAGCATCATTTTGTACTTCCGTTTTTTACATTAATTATATTCTCTTTCAACATATTTATCTGTCCTTTTAGGATGATATTTTCAATCTCTAACGAATATGGTTTCATGTTCTTCAATCGCCCTGCAACTAATCATCAGAAGATCGATTTCAAAAAAAATTTCATAGATTTTCTAAATAAAATTTTATCTTTGATATCTCTTTATATTCAATCGATTGTATTTATTAAGTTTTCTTAAATTATATCTGTGTGATCATTAAATGATTGAATTTAAATAAAAAAAAAAATTATTCAAATATATTCGTCCTTTTAGTGCTTTAGTAAATTTAACAAAAATATTCTCTTCTATTAATTGTTGAAAATAAAGAGAAAAACATTACCAATGACGTCTTTAGAACGACACATCTAATACGAATTTATTTAATCGAGATAATGTCATGGCATCAGCTGTTACAATTGTTGAGATTCATCATTAATTCGTTTTTTTTCCTTTTCTTTTTTTTTATTTTCGTGCACAAATCGATTTTCGTTGAAAAGAAAAAAAAATTAAATAACAAAATCCATAGAAAGAACAAACAAAAAAAAATATAGATGAAAAATAGCAGATAAATATCTATATATATATTACGCCTATTTAGTCAATCTTCGAAACTAGTTTCTCGTTTCTTCCCTTCCAAACTCTGTTCCTTTCGTGGTATCTAATTTTCAAATATCACAAATCCCTTTAACAATTCAACGAAACATTCTTATTCTATTTAAACAATTAACAACTGATCCCAGACCATATACACAGGTAGGATTCAAAAAAATAAGATGCACAAAAAAAACACACCAACAAATTTTCTTCAATTTGAATCATGTGAAAAATAGAGTTTGTGGGCGAAGAATACACTGCGGCAAGGACTATGCACGAGCAACAGCTGCTTAACACATTAAATGCATAGTGTAACAAAAGAGAGAAATAAACGAATATTTGTAGTTGAGAAGATATGTAATCATATGTATATATTTCTTTTCTTTTTTTTCATTTAGATATTATCTATTTTGTACATAAAAATAAATAAAAATCAATCATGACTGATATTGAACAACCGGAAGAATTAACTGGCAATATGCAACAGTTAATAGCAGCTAAAGCTGAAGAATTATTTAATTTATGTGATACAGAACAAAAAGGTTTTATTATAAAAAAAGATATGCAACGTTTACGTGATGAACTTGGTGTTGAACCTGAACAACTTGAAGATGTTTTTGATTCATTAGATATTGATCATAATGGTTTTCTTACATTAGAAGAATTTACATGTAAAAATTTATTTATTTATTTCTCTTTCATATATTGTTTTTGTTTTTCTTAGCTGGTTTTGGAATGTTTCTTGGTGATCAAATCGGTGCTGGAAATGAACAAGAAATGATTGAACATAATCCAAATGATAAAGAAGAACAACAATTATTTCATGATACATTAGAATCATTAGGAGCTAAAGATTTATATGATGATGAAGAAACAATAATGGGTTTATGGATGAAATTACGTGAAAATGATCCAGTTTTATTACGACAATTTGAACAATTTATTGGTAAAATTACACAAGAAATTCGACGTTCAAAATTAGATCATAGAAGTATTGAAGCTGCTTTACAAAGTAAATCATCAGTACATGAATCTGAAATAAAAAAATTATATGATGAAATGGAACAACAAATAAAAGCTGAAAAAGCTAAAGTTGTTGCACAAGTAAATATTTTTTTTTTTATATCTTTAAAACAAAAAATATATATATATTTTCTTCTTATTTTCTAATAAAGGAAAAATTAAAAGAACGTGAACTTCGAGAACAAATGGATCGTGAATTACGTTCAAAAGAACAACAATTAGCTGAAATAACAAAAAAACAAAGTGATTTAGAAATGAAATTACTTCGATTAAATTTAAATGAATCAGATACAAAAAATGAAAATGAACGATTACAAAAAGTTCGTTGATTTGTTATTTTCGTTTAAGAGTACTCCCTCCTCCCCCCCCTTCTACAGACTCGAACTTTTTGGATGCTGTTTTCTACGAGAGAGGCCCTCTTTCTTCGAGATACTATGTTCGATCGAGTTGAACTTTTTTTTTTTGAAGCACTAGGTATTGTTTGAAGTGGGCATCTTTTTTAGTTTTTATCCTTAGAATCGAAGGTATCTTAAACAACGCATGTGTTCTTTTTAACAGAGCTTTTCTTATAAGAGCTACTAAAAATCAGCGGAACAATATTCCCGAATAGTGTATAGTATATATGAAAAAAGTTTCAGTTCGATAGTGGACGTACTAGAACAGAGAATCGGAGACGTTTCTACATTTTTTTGCTCATCGAAAAAAGTCGATTTTAAGAAAAATACGAAACAATGTATAGTTTGATTTCTTCTCAAATTTTTTAATGTTTAAAGACAATTTTTTGGATCACAAAACGTATTCAATAGATGGATACTATTTTAGACTATACAATGGCTACAAAAAAAAATTCTGGGTCATGAAGGGGCAGTACTCTTAAATCATATTGTGCAATGTATCAATTAATTATTTTTTTTTTAAGGAAAAAGGTCAACTTGAAGAGCAATTACAAGAATTAACAAAGAGTCTTGAAGAATCGAAAAATTATATATCTCAATTACAAACCCAAACAAAAAAAGAAAAACGAGATCGAGCAAAGTATTTATTAAGTAGAAAGAAATGTTCTAATATTATTTCTTTTTTTTTTTTTTATTTAGACAAGCTTTAAATTTAACAGAAAATATTGCTATTGAACGTGAAAATCTTGTTAAACAACTTGATTCACTTAAGTAAGAAAAAATAAAACGAGTTTTTTTTTTTAAACATATGAATATATTATGAAAATTTTCTTAGATCTATTAATAAACGATTAGTTGACGAACGTGATCTTAATCACGGTTCTAAAGTAAGTTATTTATTATATAAATTTAGTTCTGAAGACAAATTGTCTATTGATTGTGTTCGATGGTTAATTTGAGAATTACAAAATTAAAATTTATATACTCTTTACATGCATGAGAACAGATCTTAAAGTTAACAATTATCAGAATTTATTTCTTGAAATTTTATGATAAATCTTCAATTCAACAAGGGAATCTTTCCAACTTAAAAATCTCTTTTGAGTTCGAGCTTTTTACAGCAGATAGACACCGATGTGATACTAGAAACTCAAAAAGTATAAGAGTTCCTAGACATTCTCTACAAAGTTATAGCTGTTTTTAATGAAATTTTAGCTAATAATATGGTATGTAGAAAAGAATCGAATGACGATATTTTATTCATAGATAGACCTACTTGTAATTGGAATGTTTTGAAAATTCAAGCTTAAAAGAATGTTCTCTTTACAAAATATTGAATGTCTAAAGGATAATTCATTCTTTACGAAAGAATCGAGAATCTCATGCTTCTATAAATTCAATATCTTGTGAACGGAGCATTTTTTTAAGCTAAAATTTTCAGAACATTCCATCTACAAGTAGGCCTATCTATAGGTAAAGTATCGTTATTCGATTCTTTTGTACATACCATGCTATTAGCTAACATTCCAGTAAAGCGACTATAACCTTGTAAAAAATGCCTATGGAACTTTATACTTTTGGAGCTATTAATACTATATTGGGATCTACCTGATGCACAAAGTCCAAACTCAAAAATGATTCTCAAATTGTGAGGATTTCCTTGTTGAACTAAAAAAAAAAGTTCTGTACATATATTTGCAAAGATCAATTTTCTAATTGACTGAAAAATCATATAAAATAAATGTAAATATTTTAGCAACAAGAACGTAGTCCATCTCCACCTCGTTCGTCAACAAAACCAACGGCTAAACGAGGTTCTATTCTTTCAGATTATTTTAGTTCACTACATAGGTATAATCTTATATTTCAATTATTTCTTCTTTGAATATGATATATATATATATTTATTTCAAATTGATAGACGAACTAGTGAACCAGAAGAAGATGATGATCTGATGAATGACGGTGAAAATAGTATTGAATCAACACGAAATCCAAAACGTCGTTCAAGGTATTATTTTATTTTAAATTTCGAATCCTTTCATTTTCCCTAATTAATCGATCAGTTTCCTGATAATAATGGGCACATTTATGCCCTCCTGTTCGTTCGTTTACATTTACTTAGATATTTAAAACGACGTGTAAATAAAATATCAACTAATAGTGATACTGAATCAGAACAAAATAAAACAAAAAATTATCATCGACATCGACGATATTCTCGAAGGTCAGCTGGATGAGCGAAATTCTTGTAAAAAAGAATTAATGAATAAAAATTAAACTATTTCTTTTTTTTGTTTTGTATTTATTTTAGATATCGTCCATTACGTTCTGGTAGTAGTGAATCAGAAGATTTGAATGATAATCTTGATACATTACTTATACCCAATTTTAGAAAACATCATTATAGAATTAATTATATATCAAATCGAGATTTAATTCGTCTGTATGAGGCGCAATCCTTTCTTTTCTGCTTCTTTTTAATTTCAATTTTTAGTTCTAAATACAAAGAAAAAAAAAATTATTTGTAAATTTTTGATTTTTCAGACCAAGAGAATTGGGTGCACGTGAACAACCAGTTGGTGCTAATTCAGTTTTTCAACATTCAGAATTAATGGTAAATAGAATTGATATTATTAGCTTTTTTTTTTTTTTTAATTTCGATTTATTTCATTTTAGAATGTTGCACCTAATGCAGTACCTGATCGAATGTTTAAAATAGCATTTATCGGTTTGTATAATAAAAAATATTAACGAATCAATTTTGAAATAATTACAATATTATTTTTTAGGCGATAGTGGTGTTGGAAAAACAAGTTTTATTCAACGATTTTGTACTGATAATTTTAAAGATACATTTGCAGCAACAATTGGTGTTGATCTTCAAGTTAAAATGATTAATATTGAAAATCGTATTATTGCATTACAATTATGGGATACGGTAAGGAAAACAAAAAAAAAATAATTTGATTTGATTTTTATTATTATTTTTATTTTTATAGGCTGGTCAAGAAAGGTTTGTTTGTTTTTTTTACATTTTTAGAGAAGTAATTATTTGATTTGGATTTATTTCATAATAGATTTCGAAGTATAACAAAACAATATTTTCGTAAATCTGATGGTGTTATTTTGGTTTATGATGTAACATCTGAAGTAACATTTCGAAATGTTCGAGGATGGATGACAAGTGTTCGAGTATGTTTATTTATAAGATATATATATATATATTAATTTTTTCTAATTATTATCTTTTTAAGGAATCAGCAGAAGATGATTGTGTTATAGCACTTGTTGGAAATAAAACTGATTTATGTGATGATGATGAAAAACGACCTGTGAAATATAAAGATGGAGCAAAACTAGCTGATGTAGATATTTCTATTTTTTTTTTTGTTTTTGTTCATTGATTTCATTTAAAAATTATTTTATTATTCATAGGAATATGGATGTTTATTTTTTGAAAGTAGTGCACGATTAGGCACATCAATTGTTGAAATAATGGAAGCAATTGCTCGGTGAGTAATTCTAATGATATACTTATTTTTTTTTCTATATGATAGTTAATTATAGATTAATGCAAGAAAAAGATGATAAACAACGTAAAGGTGAAAATATAGTCGATATATCGGCAAAGAAGAAAAAACGTGGTTGCTGCTAGTCAGTCCAAATATATATGTCTATTATCATCTTTGTATATGAAACATGCACCACAGTGCAATTTTTATGGTTCCTTTTTTTTTCTCGATTTTACTATTTCTATCGTTCTTTTCATATTTATGTACTTTGTTTGTTGATGATAAGGTGTTGGGCATATTGGGATCTCTAAACATGCATATGAATGCCAAAAAAAAGAGAATAAACGATTCATGTATTGTTAATGATTATAAATTAATAAAAAGGCAAATTAATAAAATATATATCAAAAAAAAAAAAAGACGTATTACTACAAGGCAAGATTATATTTACATGAATTACTAAATAAACATGCATATGATATAAATGAATAAGTTGTCCCTGAAAAGAAAAACGAGATATAGAATAGATGTTAGAAAAGCAATGTATTGAATAGTAATTTGTTGGTCTTCTATTTGTTCTTGTTTTTCTTTTTTTTTTTTTTTTTTTTTTTGTGAGAAAGTAACCAACAGACGAAAATCGTTATCCAACTTGATAGGATATATATATTGCACAGCATACAGCCATTTTAATTGCACGACTAACGATTACATTCGTTATACTGATAAATACATTCATGATGCTTTAGGCAATCAATCTTATCGGAAACTTTTTTTCTCTCTATATTATATGTGTCTGTCGATCGTTTCTCATTTACACATCGTTACAAAGAACACAATCTTATTCTCAAAATAACACAAATAGACATAGAGCTAGAAGACATCTGTCAACGACATGTAAGTGTTATTTCATTACATATTTCAATTTGAACATGTACAATCGATTTTATAGATAATAATAATAATAATGTATTATTTTATTAATTTATTTTTTATTATAATAATAACAATTAATTGTCAACAAATAGATCAAATTGTTGAATGTAATTATAAAGATTTAACTTCATATCAATTAGATACAATGAGTCTTCGTGATCAAGAACAACTTGTAAATAAATCTTTTTTATTTTATATACAATAGAAAATATATATATATTGAACGGTTTTTCAATGTATTTCTGATTACTTAGAAATTTTACTTTCATTTTTTTTTTTATTCGAAAAGATATCTTCAACAAATTTAAGATTCATATTAAACGACTTTATTAGACTAATAATCAAAGAATTTTGACTTAAAACATCTCTTATAGTAACACAATTATTTATAAGTATTGAATTCACTAGCGAAGAAGTTGGACTTGCTTACAAATATTTTTATCTATCAGAATGTCCCCTCAGGGTATATCATGACACATTATTATTAATGTCTTTTTTTCACTAGTCAAAAGAGATATTCTTAGAATGTTCTTGTATATAATACAATATGTTGACTACGTCCTACATTTAAGCCTTAGAGAAATTACTTCTACTAGAAATTCTTTTTAATTTTTAATGTTTTTTTCGAAGATTGTTATCTTAAAAAAAAAAAAATCTAAATAGGTTTTTTTTCTAATAGTCTTTTCTGGATAATCAATATAAAGTGTAAAAAAAAAAAATTTAGAAAAACCGTTCGAATTTTGTTTTCAATATTATTGTCATTAAATAGATATAAAAATTTATAGGCTAAAAAAATTTTAAATGAATATGATAAAAATTTAACAACACTTGCTTATATAACATCATCATCAGAATTTGAAACACATTTATATTTAAATGATCTAAATATAAAACGTATAACGGTAAAATTTTCAATGAATAATTATTTATTGAATAATAAGAAAATTTTTCTTGTTTTTTTTTTTTATTATTATCTAGGATAAATATTATGAAACTTATCGTGATTGTTTAAAAACAATTGCAATAGTTGGTAGACAATTTAAAAATTTAATACATCATCAAAATTCATCATTACGTTGGTTATTAATACGTACACAAGCTATTGGTGATGCTGCACAAAATGATACAACCATTAAATTTGATATACAAAAATTCAAAGCTCGTATTAAAGAAATTTATCAGAGAAAAATTAATTGGGATAATACATCAATAGGGATTGATGGTTTGTATTTGTCTTTATATAAAAACAATTAATATGAATTCGATCGATATTTTTAGAAGTACAAGAAATACTTGGCACACTTAATTCACCAAATGATCTTCTTTCATTATGGAATTCAACTTATGATGTAGCTGCACCAATGCGTGATTATTATTCAACATTGATTGATTTACAAAATCAACAGGCCAAACAGAATCGTACCTCAGCAGTAACCCATTCTCACATATAATCCTTCAACTTATTTTTAAAAGATATTATTTACAGAAAAAAAAAACCAAATTCTCGTTTGACAGTCAATGAAAGATCATTAAAATATTTTCAAACATTTTTTTTTAACCACAAATGTTTATCGTTATGTATTGTTAATTGATATTATTTAGGTATCATGCTTTTAAGTTTTTGCTTCCTTTCGATGAAGATAGTGATTTTCAAGGCTATCTACTGGTCTACTCTCACCTACAGTCATGAATCATGAATTACGATTGAAGGGATTCTATTGTGAAAAGAAGCAGCCGAGATGCGATTCTGGAGAAGGGTGACAGGTTTTACACTTCCGAGTAGGATCCGCAGCTCAATGATTCGAGAATTTCTTCAGATCGAATTACTACTGCTTCATCTTGAGAGATTGCATCTACGTTGGTTGGGGAATATCCTAAGAACGCCGCATGAGCGATTGATCTATCAAGTCTTTAAAGTTATATCACGAGGGAAAAGACCGATCGAGCGTTAATGTCTAAGTTGGTGCCATCATATCACACGTCTATGTCAGGAACGATTGGGACTTTTATGGACCGATGCTATTACTGCGATAAAAAAAAATCGAGATTACTGTAAGAATTCGTTGGACATGCTTAAAATCTCGATTCGAAAGGATAAGAAGAAACAAAAATGGGTGAATGAAAATGAATCTTTAGTTAATATCGTTTCATCTATGCGTTATAACAACTGATTTGAAATAAGTTAAATTGAAATTTATTCCGACTATAAGAAATTGAAGAGATTCATGATAAGAAAGGCTACGGCTACCGATTTTGTTTTGTTTTTAAGGCATAAAAAAGTTAAAGATTGAGATTGAGACATTCACAAGAAATATTGAGTTTTCTAATTCCATTTAATATATTAGCATGTTTAATCAATATTATATTTTTGCTCCTTTACTTCTCTCAATTCATTCATTCTTCTGATACTTTCTACTTCATCTTCGGTACTATTATTTCCGACTATTTTTAGTCTGTTGAATCTCATTACATTTTTTTTTTACTGTTTAATAGAAAAAGAATAAAACCATTTAAAGAAACTAGAAAATGTCTAAAGAGTTATATAAGTAAAAGATACATATGGTGATCAATGAGAAAAAAAATAGAGGTTTCAGAGTATAACTAAATTAACCATAAAGATAGACCGGAATAATCTAATCTTTTGTAGGCCTATTTCTATATTAATCCAATTAATAAGATTGTATCATAACCAGAAATCAATAAATTGATTTTTTATAGTTTCAAAACTTGAAAACAGAACTAACCTTGGAAAATAAACGATGCCCAGAAAATAACTAAACAAAGAAAATTTGTGAATATTTCTACCATATGAACTCATATTTTCACTATTGATAAAATAGTATTCATAACTTATATTCATAAGAGAAGTATTGTTAAAAATCATTTTGAAGTATTTACAATTGACTTTAATCAAGATTTGTAACCTTTCACAAGTTATGGAAAAAAAAACAATATATTTATTTCCTTAGTCAAGAATAAACGACATCGAATTGTTTTTCGATTAATTCTTCATACTACTAGTATCGCTCGGATTTATATTTATACTACGGATATATTTCTTATTACTCAATGTATCCTGAAAGTTTCAGCCATAGATAGTAAGAATTTATTGACAAAACTACAATATTAGTTCTTTTTATAAATATGAACTATGAACCATACTTTATTCAGTAGTAAAAAAAAATATCAACTAATATAGTCGAAATAGAATCCAAGGAAATATATTGCAGAACTTCTCCTTAGTTAAATTTTAGTATAATATCTTTGTTTACTATATTCAAGTTGCATATGTGCAAGAAGGAAAGTACAGCTTTGGAATCCCGAGTATCTTTTGATACTGAAAGTGCTGTAGAGTTGATACATGTTTGGAATTAGACTGGAAATTAAGATGATAACTATGAGTTTCACGTTTCATAACATTCAGCTATTTGCTTGAAATAGACTTCTCCTGATTGGAAAAACTGATTAAAGATTTTGATTCCCTGTCTCCGAGAACCTGTAGTCAAGATTTATAAAAATCATTGTTTTCGAAAAATAGCCTTGTCTTAATTGAAAAAAAAATTGAATAGCAACAATATGACTCTCACTCATAACTATCATCTTAATTTCCAGTATTATTTCAAAAATGTATGAATATTACAACACATTTAGTACTTTTCCCATACTTTGTAGTAAAATTTAGTACTTAGGTACTGCATTTACCCCTTTATGTATGTGACATTTGAATGATTATTAAATCATTTTACAAATTCTCTCTTTAAAATGTTTGAAAATATCTTAAGTCTTTCATTAATTTAAACTAAAACTATTTAAAAAAAAAATAAAATTTTTTTTTTCTTCAACAAATTAATCAAAATCACATAACTATCCTTGAATTTTTTTTTCTCTATTAAAATAATTATCCTACATATATTTGTTTGTTTTTCTTTTCGAAGAAGTGAATGATAGAAGTGAATTAATAACAAATGCTGAAGAACGTCGTCTTGTTGAACAATTATGGCAAGAATTAAAACCATTACATGAACTTGTACATGCTTATGTAAGACAACAAATGGCTCGACTTTATCCTGGACTTGTTCAATTAGATGAACCAATACCAGTACATTTAACTAGTAAACAATTAAATGATAATAAGTCTCAATAGTAAAACCTTTTTATTTTGTAGAAGATCTATTTGGTTCAATGATGACATATCTTGAACATGATATACTTCCATTTCCACATATAAAAGGCATTGATTTAGGTCCGGCAATGAAACGAAAGGTCTTTGTTTTTTTACAGAAGAAATTTTCCTTCTTTCTTTTTGTTTTTATTAATTTTATTTCATTCAATTAGAATTTTACTGAAAAAAAAATTTTTCAATATGCTGATGAATTTTTTGTTTCATTAAATTTAACACGTGTACCAGATAAATTTTGGAATTTATCTATATTTAAAAAAATTCCTAATCGTCATATGGCTTGTCATCCAACAGCATTTGATCTATATAAATATGATGATGTTAGGTATGTTTTTCCTATGAATTAAATTAATTTATTATTATTTGAAAAATAAAAAAAGAATTCGTATGTGTACAAGTATGACATCACGTGATTTTTATGTTGTTCATCATGAAATGGGTCATATACAACATTATCTACAATATAAAACTTTACCATTTTGGTTTCGTCGATCACCACATGGTGCATTTAGTGAAGCTATTGGTGATGCAATTGCATTAGCAACAATGTCTCCAACACATTTAAAACGAATTGGTTTACTTGATAATTATACATCATCGAGAGGTTATTATTAGTAAAAGTAGAAGTTTGTATTGTTTTTTTTTGTTTATTTGTAATAGAGGATAATATAAAATTTTTGGTATCACAAGGTTTAAGTAGACTTTTTTTACCACCTTATGCATATGCAATTGATCTTTGGCGTTGGTCGGTTTATAATGGATCAATTCAACCATATGAATATAATCGACGTTATTGGAATCTTATGTAAATTTGTTTTATTTATCTAACCTTTCCAAATATAAATTCTTGTTTTAATTTTCTTCTTCATACTTCAGATGTCAATATCAAGGTATGAAACCAGCAAAAATTCGTGATGAAAGATATTTTGATGCTGGTACTAAACTTCATGTAGCGTTTGATTTATCTTATATAAAGTATTAAATAATTATTTTAATAAATTAAACAAAAATATATAAGATAATAATTATTATTTTTTATTTGTGACTTAGATATTTTCTTGCACATGTTTTTCAATTTCAAATATTTGATATTTTATGTCGTGAAGCTGGTCATCAAGGACCATTACATCTATGTGATTTACATGGTTCACATGCAGCTGGAAAAAAACTCAAGTATGTTTTTCTTTTTTTTTAGTAGTTCGATGTGTATTTTTCTTTTATTCATATATTTAAATGAAATAATATAGAATTTTACTTGGATTGGGTTCATCAAAACCATGGGAAGATATATTAGAAGAATTTGCTGGTGTAAGAACATTTTCAGCTAAATCATGTTTAAAATATTTTGAACCACTTCGTAATTATCTTGAAGAATTAGTTGCAAAAGGTGAATTAAATGTTGGATGGAAATGTCCAATAAATAATTGTTCAACAAGATATTTTATTCGAAGAAATATTTATTTGATTTTACTAATAAAATTTATGTTTTCAATTATTTTTTTTCATTTGTAAAATTTAAAAAAGACAAAAAAAAAAAACATTTTTTTTTCTTCTTGTCTTGTGTGTTGTTCAGTATTGAAATTTTTATGTTTGAACCTATGTTTATCCCGAAAGGAAAAGTACTTTTTTTTTTTATATATTATAGGCGAAACAGTAAACAAAAAACGAAACATTCTGCTTTTTATTTTTTTTTAATTATACTAGTAGATGTAACATTTAGGAGTGCTTACATAATGATTAAGAAAGAAAAAAAAGTATTTAAACCAAAAGCAATATTATTAATGTAAAGTACTATACAATTTTCCGTCACTATAATTATGATGAGTATTAGCTTACTTTTGTAAGAATATCAAGGAGGTTAATAAAAGCAATAGAATCAAGTATATTGAAGAAAGAAAATGAAAGTAAATAGACTACTAAAAAGTAACAAAAAAGAAAGAGTAATAAGAGAGTATGATAAGAAAAGTAATAAAAAAAAAGTTTGATACATACTATTAATGCTCTTTTCTTTCTCTCTTTCTATTATAAATTCGTTTCAACAAAAAGTAACCACTCTAAAAGATACGATTCATATTGATCTATTGATTAGCAGACACAACGCCAGTGAATAAAAAAACGACCGAAATGATCGGTTTTTTTTCTCTTTTGTAAAATTCATCTCTAACAAAGATGTCATTATAGAAAAGCGGCAACCTAAAATCAGTTATTTACATGATTCTTAATCTTCTTTGAATATATTTTTTAACGTAGAACTCTTATGAGGTATTCAAAAGTGATGGTATATAGATTGTACGCAGAGAGCAATCGACATCGATACATCAACCAAATACTCAATACAGAATTTTTTTTGGCAAAGTCTGTTACTGAGTTTCTGAAAGAAAGGAATAAAACGGGGATAATCAAGCATAATGGGGAAGGCTACATGAAAAGAAACATTGAGGAATCATTTTCAAGGACATCTTTCGTTCATTTATTCACCTGTGAATTTCAAGGATAGTCTGTCAGCCCATGTAAATCCCAAAACAACAGAGACTTCAGTCTTGAAGTCTTCAAACTATAGGTAAACCTTAAAAATTTAAATTCTTTAACGAGTTCGATTTTTTCTCTGATCATTATTATTCGTTTTTATTGAAAATACCTTATACAATCTTTCATTCAAATATACTTGTAATGATCTCATTTGACAAGAATTTTCTTCTATTTATCAAAATAATATTGTTAAAATATTTCGCAAACAAAATTGTTACCGATTATTTTTTCGTATAATTAATAAACAATCGAATGTAATTCATTTCAACATTATCAGAATAATACACAGATGATAAAGTATGTGTTTTTTTGGTTATTTCTGTCTAAGTATGTTTTCAATTGAATAGCATCAAAGTGAACTTTAATCATTAATTGATCCATATATTCATAAACCTTACTTCTTATGAATATTACCCATTTTCTTATGTAGTGATTGATGGTGACAATCGACTAAGTTGAATTACTCAATGTTACATATGCACTTCATCTTAAATTATTTTTTTTTGTTGAGAAGATTAACGATCAGTTTAAGAGTATAATTAGAATATAAACTAATCTCCGATCTTTGGATTGACTTTCATAACTAACAGCTAGCGAATCTAAGTATCTGCATCGTATTTTTACTCATTAATACATTCCTAGCAGAAAAAACTTCATCCATATCTCCAGTGTTTCATCCAGACTTTCTCTTCCTCAAGGACAATTTATAAATCCCTGAGAACGAATGTCTATTTTTAGGAACACAAATATATAGTACGTTACACAATAACCACAAACATCTGGAGGCCTAATTCAATCTTCGAAAAAAACGCTACCTTCATGCTGTGTAAAATCTTGCATCTGTCTCTATTTTTTTTATCAAGCAAAATGATTCATTTAATCTTTTCTTTCAAATACAATACTATTTTAGTCTCTATATACATTTTTTGCATTGTTTAGCAATAGTTTTTTCAATATATTCTATTTATAAAACAAAAGGTAGTTATGTCACCATAAGCAATTAATTGAAGCAATAATATAGAATCAAAAATTAGTTAAACAAAAAAGAGAAAAAAATCAACACTTCAACGTGTTAAAAAAAAAACCTAACACTATACATAAAACAAAAACGAATCGATGAAAAGATAATAGTTTCGAATTCAATTTTCTTTTTAAAAAAAAACCTTGTCCTTTTTTTTAACACGTAAAAATGTCGAATTATTTGTATTACTTTTTATTTTTTGGCTCGGGAAGAAATATATTTAAAAAAAGTTAAAAATTATTTTCATTCTTTAGCATTTCATTAAAAAAAAAATGAAGATTAATTTAATAATAAGCACCTTGTATATAGTATCAAAATTTGGAGCTTAATTTACCAAAAATATTTTTCATAGCGCCATCTAAAACATCATTAACACCATCAGGTAATTTATCAGTAATATGTTGTTTAAATTTATCTTGAATAATATCATCAGCTAACATACGTAATAATTCAGGATAACGTTGTTTAAGTTCTTGTAAAAATTCTTCTGGTGAATTTAATTTTAATTTTGAATTTTTTAATAAATCAACTATTTTATTTATAAATACACGTAATTTACTTAAATAATTACTACCACATATAATTTTATATAATGGATGTAATTGTGAATATTTTTCAAGTATTTGTGTACATTCATCAACATGATTTGATAATGGTTGTAAAACATCATCTTCATTTTTTAATGCAAGTATACCATATGTTAATATTAATTCAATATTTTGCATCATTTTTCCAATAATACCAATTTCTTTAACTGTATTTGAAGCAGCTACTTGAATAGCATCCGTTCGAGTTAAATCAATATCAGTAGTATTATTACTACTTGTTAATGCAGGTTCATCTGAATTTGCTATAGCATCAGCCTAAAATGTTGTTATTAAAATTATTATTAACATACGATCAAAAACAAAAACAAATAGAATGTGAAATAAAAAGTTTACTTGAGTAGCAAGCTGTTGTCCATGTTTTTGAATTAAATTATCATCAAGTTTATTAGCTGCTTGATAAAAATGTTCGAAGGATGTTAATGCTTTTTCTACAACTGGTGCTTTGGTACCAAATTTAGAAATTTTTCTATGAATTTTTGTTGTCATTTCCAAAGGAGCAAATCGTTCATCACTCGATCGTTTATCACCTAGATATTTTATTGTTATATCATTAAAAAAAAAGAAAAAATAATTTTTATTATTTAATTACCTGTAACTGCTAATCGGCCAAAAATTGAACTTAATTGTTGACCAACTTGATCGATAAGAGATCGAACAGTTTCAGCTATATTTTGTAAATCTTTTATATTAGCCATATCAATATGAAAGAATTTACAAAAAACATCAATTATTTGTCCAAGAAAATCAAGTATACGACCAACACCAAGTTCACCTAATTTTTCATCGATTATACGAAGAAATGTGTTAAACTAATAAAATAAGAAATCAATAAATACAAATAAGATCTAGTTCATATTGTCTTACTCTTGCAAGTAACATGCCTGAACCACAACATAATAAACCAATAATGCCCATATTTCCATGTTCTGTAATTGTTTCTCTTGCTTCATTTAATTGATTTTCAATAACTTTAAGTATATGAGGATGTTCAGCAAATATAACACAAGCTAAACCAGATACAGATTCATAAATCTGTATACTTGATAAGAATGTTTCTATAATAGGTGGCATACGTGTAAATCCTGCTTGTTGTACAGTATCATAAAATTGTTTAATTATTGAAAAATGTTGTTTCATTGGACGGATATCATCACCATTGGCAGTGGCTACATCAGTTGCATTCGGCAAATATTCACAAACTTTTTTTGTCCATTCACAAAGTTCGTTTGAATTTGGTCGTCTGATAAATGATGTTTCTGTATTAGGATCTTGTTTAAAACGATCAATAAAAGTTCGTAATTTATCAATATTAGGAGTATCAGGTGGATCACCTCCACCACCACCTTGACGTCCCAGACACGAAAGAAGTTCCATCAAACGACTTTGCCCTTCTTATGTTATTATTATTTTTCTTCTGTCTGGTAGTATAGCGTAGGTAGATAAAGTACAAAGTCTTTTTTGATTGGTTGATAGATTCCCAAAACGGAACGAATATTGTCAGTAACTGAATTGTCGCTATGAATCATTTAGTTACTTTTTCAGATTAAATATCATCAAGATTGATTCACATCTATCGATGAGAAATTTTATATATATCACGCAAATCAAATACAAAATAGTTTTGAAATCGTCTTTTGTTTTTGTTTTGATTTCTATTTAATAATAAAATACAGCAAAAGCTGTTGCAACACATATTAAAAATTGATTAATATAAATTGATTGTGCAAATTTATCTGTTTCAGAATCCCAATATGATCGAGAAATCATTTGTAAATTTTCATTATGTTGTTGACAAATAATAATTTGTATTATAAATTTATAACGTTCATAACCAAATATTTTTAATGAATTTTTAATAATATTTGAAAGATTTTTAGCTAAAAAATTACATTGATTTAAATCATATTGTTTATCATGTAAATTATCATGAAGAATTTCATGTATACGTTTTTTAACTTCTTGACAATTAAAAATTTTTATTGGTAAATGAATTTTATTATTATTATTATTATTATCTTCAGACATTAATTTTATTACAAAAATAAAAGATCGAAAAAAGTTTCTACGGTTAATTTTATTAGCGCTCAGAAAACAAACAAACAAATAAATAAATAATAATTACTTCGTATAAAAAAAAAAAAAAAAAAAAACTATTTATATATGCTATCGAACAAAATAAAGTAATTGAAAATTGATTAAAAGACAAAAACCAAAAACGAAGAATAATTAACTTAAATGTGAATTATAATGGTGTGAATATTGTCGTTCAATTGGATCGGCTTTATTATGTATGGACGGAGCAGATAATAATGTAACACATGAACCAATTACAGTTAAAAAAACAAATACTATTAAACAACACCGATCAATGACAAGTGCAATAAATCGCCAACCTTCTCTTTCCTAGAAAAATAAAAATAAAATAAAAAGGAATTTATTTTTTCGAACCTAACCAAACTATCTTGTTCTGCTTCATGTTGTACGTCACTTATATATCGAATATCTTTTATTGCTTGTTGAATTATTGGTGGATATCTATTAATTGATAATGTATTTAAATAATTACCTAATTTATATATATTATCACTATATTGTGATAATTCTGATTCTTTATTATCATTATTTTGTTCTGGTCGTAATAAAGCATCAGCAATATGTGGTTTAGACATGAATATAAATGGTGGAATTATCTCAAAAAACCATCGTTTTACCCATTCAGGCATATGATGAGTATTCGGATGACGCCAATGAATATTTAATGTTATTATTGTTATAAATATAGATGCATTAACAAGTACTAATGTAAAAAGTAAATATGTACCAAGTAAAGAAAGTTTCAATGATGTTGGTGGTATAAGATCAACTAAAAGAAGATAAAAAACTTGAAGTGCAACAAAAATTGATATTGATAGTGTTAATTTTTCACCACAATCACCTAAAGAAAAAAACAAAATATTTTGATTATTTTAAGTTTTTCAATAATCAATTGATTTCTTACTAGGTAAATAAAATACAAGAATTGTAAGAAAAGCAATATTTATACAAGGAATAACAAGATTAACCATATAGAAAAGTGGTTTACGTCGAATACGTAATGCAAATGTTACATCGAAATATGGATCATCTTTACAGCAATCATATAAAACAACATGGCGAACAGCAGGCTAAAAAAAAAGACATAACAACAAAAGATAAACATAATTAATTGTTGATTAATAGTCTTATTGATTCATTAAGATAGTAAGAAAAAAAAGAATAATAATCTGTTTTTTATATGTAATATAGTCTTATAATCAATGGATATTTAGACAACAAATTGTAATATGATCGTATATTAAATAATTAATGACAATTCAATGTCAAAATTCATGATAAAGAAAAAACCCATGAATAATGATGTCAAAGTGATCAAATATAGAGGAAACAGACAGAAAAAAAATCAATTTAGCTTTCCGAAAGGTCCCCTCCAATGCTCTATCAAAACAAAAATTATTACTCATGTAGAAACTTGAGTATAGATAATTATTCTATTGAATTCAATAATTAGGTCGATCGCTAACCAATGAATATATTTGAAAACATTCAAGAAGTTCTCTTTTTTAAAAAAAGAAAAACATATTATTCAATATAAACATTCATCTTGACCATTACACACTTATCAAATATTCCAACAATTATCAGAAAATTCAATCGAAATAGCTAATTAACAAAAAAACAAAATCAACAGTTTTTAATCAGTTGTAAACACTAAAAAAAAAAAAAAATAAGAAAAGCAATATTTGTCATTATGTTTATGACAGCTGCATCATTACTTATCACTAAGTGCTTTATAAGTATCTATTAATGTTATCTATTACTCTAATGAATGATTAAAATTAATACTTCAGGAAAAAAAGACAAACATGATCAGTTAAAATTAAATTTTATTTTAACAATGTAAATCATGTTTTGTAGATATGACGATTAATAATAGTTAACAAAAAAAAAATCAATATATATATATATATAAATATGGCTTAATTTTCTTATCTTATCAATTTTGTAATGGTATCAAATCATCACTTTGTTATCTGATTTTGAATACGTCTAACTCGACAAGGCCGACTAGAGATAACACATTAGATTAGTGATGTAAGTAAACAATAATCCTATTTTTAATTCTTTAAGAACTTAAAAAATTTATTTGAAATCTTCTGATATTTTTTTTTTATAGTTCTATTTAAATCTCATGAAATATTAAAATAGACAAAATAAATATAATCAAAAAAAAAGTCTATAGATAAAAAATAATACAATTACTTACAGCAGCAAGAATATCCCATTCAATCGATGGATAATAATCAGAAAGATCAACACCATAATCAACAACATCTTGTCCTGACTTATGATGAAGATCAACCTATTATAAACAAAATAACAAAAAAGAAGTTTTTCATTTATCTTCTATTTTATTTCAATAATACAATATCATACTAAGTTTCCATTATGTGTCCATGTACCAAATTTTAGAGCACAATTTTGTTCATCAAATGGATAATATTGAATATCAATAGCACAATAAGATTTATATATAACAGGAGGATTCCATTTAATTGTTCCATTCCAAAACTTAAGTAAATATTTCATATTCATAAAAATTATTTCAAAAAAAAAATAATAAATAAATACTTACAACATGAGCTTTAGTGATTGTATTAACTTCATAAGTTCCATCTGCATTATTATATAGAACAATATCTGGTACCCAAATATTTGATGATGGAATTTCAAGAACATCAATTCCACCATATTCACTAGGTGTCCATGTTAATTTATAATCAGTCCATTCCTAAAATTTATCAAAAATAATTAAATTTTTTTTGTTTTTTTTTTTTCGAAATAAAATTTTACATGTTCAAGCCAAACATTTGTTGTCATTATTTGATTTCGTTCATCAATATCAGATAATTGTGATAATTTTAAACCTAATGTTACATTAACTTTTTGATTTGTTGATTGTACAGGTAAAACATATCTATTATAATCTTTCATAAGTTCATTTAAAAGACGTTTAGCTTCAGCATTTCCATTTACTTCTATACATTCAGAAAGAATCTTTATATATATATATAAATTTAATCTTACCAAATTTGATTAAAGTGAAAAAACCAATTATCATTGTATAGAAAAAAAGCATCATGTTGTTTTTTATATTCTTATTTCATCAAATAACAATATAACTGACACTAAGTCTATGATTGTCATACCAATAGTTAAAGCAATAAAAGACAAACTACACTTTGACGATGACGTTCTCTATATTTATGCCTTATATGTTGTGCGACCATAAATGACGATTGATAGCAAGACATCAGTATTAACAGAATAAGAACCGACAACAGAAGCTTCTGGATGAAGTTAATAGAGAAAAAAAATCGAAGAAAATATAGAATAATATTCTTCCTTTTCACTATCATTATCAACTCTATTACCAAATATACATATATATATAAAATTAGCATAATAGATCTTCATTTAACTGTGTATGTGGTTTGACTTTTCTTTCTTCTTGTTTTTTTTTCAATAACCTTTTTGCCCTCCTACTTACTCAATTAGACAAAGAAGTGCTAAGTTTATCGGAATGAAGATGATAGCCAAATGTTATGCATTGTTTGTATATGTACCCAATTGACTAATAAGGAAGATGAAATACACATTGTTTCTCTTATAGTTTATTTAATCAGAGAAGAAAATCAATCGAAAACGTCAAATCTATAGTAATAGTATAGATTAAGAAAATCTTTGCTTTTTGTTCTTATTAGAGAAAAGAAATCTCGATAAAAGATAACCATAAGAATAAACGTACTCAATGTGAAGAATGTATAGTGTATATCTTCTATATGAAGTTCTTTATTCTTTCTAACGTATTTTATCATTAAAAATTTTATCAAGATAGTATTAGATATAGATGAAAAGGCAATCATATAACAATATATAAATGGATATCAAAAGAAATTGAGTGATAATAAGTATTTATATTCAAATTTACTTGAAAAAAATTGATTAAAATTAATATCCGCATCAGAATTAGGTTAAAGAGTGGGTGAGTATAAACTTGATAAATCGACAACGACAACAGTTAGGAAGCTGAGATTGTATAAGACAATATTATTTTAAACACCTATCATCTTCTCAAAAAAATAAATTCAAATAAAACATGCATGAAAACTGTGTTCTGTTTTAAGAAAATTTCAATACAAAGTTCGGAAGGTTTGCTAAGAATTAACAAAATTCTATATAATTTAATTGAATAGACACGTGATTTTGATTGTTCTGCTTTGAGATATGAGAAGATAATTGTCTGAATTATGCCTTGAACTATAGATCTGAAATTTTGACTTGTATAGAAAACTATTTTAATTTGGATATTTCATAATATAGATTATTTTTCTTTTCCTATTATTTAAAATTTTATTTAGTGACGTCTCATCAACGATGTTAACTTCATCAGACTGTTTTGAGTACAAAATATCGTATAAGGTAAAATAACAAGAATATTTTTATGCATAGAAACACATTCTCTCTCTATTCTATTGATACTAGAACGAACAAAGAACAATCTAAAAAGAAAAATCTTCATCCAATATCATCGTCTTGTTTGTTCTACTATAAATAGAATAGAGGAAATGTGTGTATGAATATGTATAAAAATGTACTTGTTATTTTATCTTATATATCATTTTATACCCAAAATACTCTGATGAAGTCAAGATCATTAACGAAATGTCACTAAATTAAGTTTTCAATAAGAGAAAGAGAAACATAATCTATATTATTAAATATACAACCAAATAGATCTGAAGTTCCTCTATCTAAAACACATGTTAAAATCAAAATCGAACACCATTTTCATGCATTTTTTTTGAATGTTTTGCAAACCTGATGAATGTTACAAATAATTTTATATTATTTAATATCAAATAAAAAGATGTCTAGAATTCTTCTCTTTCGATTGTTGAAAATCACAAGTCGTTAATTGTTGCTGTTGTTTAGTTATTGAGATTATACCTACTCGCATTCAATTCTAATGCGAACATTAGATTTTTTTTTTCATTTTTATCGAATATAATTTTCTACAATGACATCATTAAAAATTTTTTTTCGTAATGTATTTGTTTTTAATTTTCGATCTTGTTTAGATGTTGTATCTCGATGATTACAAGCAGCTCCACGAGAAAATATACACATTGGTGTATGATCATAATATGAATAGAGAACACCATGTGTAGCACTTGCTTGTGTTAATGAATATGGATCACGAAATAGAAGACGACTACGTGCAACTGATAATGCTCGTTCATAAGCTTTTCGAAAAATATCTTGATCAACTGGACCACCATGTTCAAATTGACGTTTTGGTAATAGAATTGGTGTTGGAGTTTTTATTATTGGTGATGAAGATTTTAATGATAATTCGGCAGATGGTATAGGCGAATGAAAAGTTGGTTGACGAATACAATTAGAAGCAGACGGTATGGTTTTTGATTTTTGACTAGTTGCAGTTCGAATAGGTGGTAATATTACGATTGGTGTTACTGGTTTTGTTAAAAGACTCTCGTCTTTTTCGTCTTCATCATTATTTTGTTTTTGTTGATCATATTGTTCAAGTTCAACTGAAAAAATAGGTAATGATGTTGATAATGCTGTCGAATTTTTTCTTGTAACTGCAGCAAAAAATTGTTCAGTATTTTCTCGATTAAATTTTGGCACTCCTTCTCGACCATGTGTCAAACCGAGCCGATGCACGGGTGACGTTTTACGTTTATTACGACTGCGTACCGTGTTTGTATATTATCACATACGAAAAAAAAAAATTTATGAATAAGAGTTGTCGAAAAAAAACAAAATGTAAACAAAATAACTTTTGATTCCATTATAAAAATGCAAAGACAATGTCAAGTGTTTCAATTTCTACATGGTTTTCTTTCATATTGTTTTATATATATATATATATATATGATTATTAATAAAAAAATAACAAATTAAATATATTTCGATGAAAGAAATTCTGTTGATAAACATTCTACCTAGTGCATAGTATGACATAATGAAATACAAATTTGAATGAAGAGCTTATATTTATATATGTATTGATGAAATTTAGTGATTCAAGGAATTAAAAATAAAGAGAGAAATATATACATAACATTGTTCACAGGTTTCTCTAGAGTGTTCTCTTAAATATTCATCTTTTTTTTGATAAAGAATTATTTATGATGTGATGAATGAAAAAAAAAATCAATGTGTTTATAATATTTTCAACCAAATGCAATAGTTTTTAAATTTTATTCCTAATTAACCAACGATTTTTTCTTTTTTCTATGTTATTAAATATTTATACATACATTCTTGATCAATTTCTTATTCATTATGATAATAGATTGCAGCAAAAAACTAAGTTATATTGTTCTATCAAGGATATCCCATTACAAAAAAAAAAGGATTCACACATATTCATAGCCAGAAGATATTTGTCCATAATCATATCAGTCAATCTCTTTTATTTTTTATCAAGAATATATTCAATCAATTAAACTGAATAAATTCTAATGCAAAACAAATATTTTCTTATTCTATGATTACTATTCAAAATATATTCGATTGCCTAAGTCTTGAGATAAATTATTAATCCATCATATAATTACACAAAACTTAATAAATGTAAATCCAAACTCTGATATAAACTTAACTCACAATACAATACCTACTTTAAAAAATGATTCTCTCTCAATTAGACTATACAAAAATTATAGATCACATATTGTATAATTTTTTTCTACATGGACTTGTACTGAAAAAACTTTCAATCAAAAACAAATTCTGATTATATATTCATCTGAATCAAAAAATTCTAGCTTCAATTATTATGACATCGATATGCGCATCTCATATATGCATAAACATTTAATCTAAAGATTCTATCCATGACGATAATAATTTATCAACGAATATCTTCCAATATTATTTATTATTGCAAGTAAAATAAATAATAAAAATAATCTGTATCTAATCTATATATTTCTTAACCCAATAAAACATTACATGTTCTTCAACATTCATTTTTTTTCATTGTACTCTTCCAGAAAAATAAAAAGTTCATTCAAAACTTTATTTTTACAAAAGAAAAAAAAACCCGTGTTGAAGATAGTCTAATCGTTACGTTGATATTGGCTCTCAACACACATAAACAAAAAAAAAACAACAAAAGCACATTGTTGCATTTTCTCATATTTTTTCCAAAAAACAAGTTCGACAAAAAAAAAAATACTCTAATAATAAACATACACAGTGCAAACAAATAAATCAAGTTGAGAAAAAAACCAAACAAAAAAAAAAAGAAAAGAAAAGTAAGAAGAATATCGTCAACATGTACGAAAAACAAAAAAATAATAAATTTGATTAATGACCAAAAGAAAAGAATATTTCTTAATAACACATATTAAAATTAAGAATAGAAATTCATATAAAAAAATACAAATATTTTTTTTTTAAATTTTTTCATCTGATGGCATCCAAGCATATTTAATTCTATTTTCATGATCAATAATCTCACGTATACGATCATAAACATCACTTAAATTTTCTTCATCGATAGTAACTATAATACAAAAAAAAAAAATAAATATTTATTATTTATATTTTTTCTTATTAAATTTTATTTAGTATTAAATATAAATTCTTTACCTGTAAAAAGATCACCAAAGTGTTCTTCAATTTCATTGGATTTGTCATAGATTAGTTTAGCTTGATTTTCATTTACTTCTTGTCCCATATTATCCCTTAAATAAATCAATAAAAATTAAATTTGTAAAATAATATTTTACTTACAATATCCATTTAATATCACGTGGTTTAACATATATAGCAATTGGATAAAGACCAGCTCTCATTAGACGTTTAATAGCACGACCACTTACATCCAAAACACAATGTTTTGACTATCAAATATGTATATGAATTATTTTTATTTATTTATTTTTAAATAAATACATACAGCATAAGCTACTTCACGAACAGCATTAACGCTTGTACCATATAAATTTCCTCCATATTCTCCTGCTTCAATAAATAAATAATTTTGAATATCATCTTCCATTTGTTTACGATTTGAAACAAAATGATATTCTCGACCATCAACTTCTTTGTCACGTTTTGTTCGTGTTGTATCTATAAGAAATTTGTTTATTAATTATTAAAATAAATAAATAAATATAGGATATATGAATACATACGAGGTATACAACTAACAAATTTATCTGGTTGATCACTTAATAGTTGATCATTAAGAATTTCTTTAAATGATCCAAATATTATAATAGGTCGTGCGTAATCAACTAAAATAAAAAATAGTAAAATAATATTTACAATATGATTTGACTCTGGTTTTTTTTTGGTCTGTAACATTTCTAATGATATTATTTTATGAATTTCTCTTTATTCTTATAAAGTCATAGTTAGAAAACGGTCATTGTTTATTTAAAGAGAACTAAAAGTATTATTCGAAACTTTTTGAAACATGCTTTGCATGAAAAACAATATCGATGTAATGAAAATTATATTCAAAAGAAAACTCTTTTATTCAATATATAATCTTGATTAGTGATTGTTAAATCAAAAATACTTGAATCTAAATAATCAGGAGTGATATGAATAGAGTTCTGTATAGAACCCGAAAACTCAACTCCGATAGACTTGAATTCGAAGTGATTGAAAAGAACTTTTAGTTTTTAACTCAACATTAGTAACATTTTGATTGTCACCAACAAAAAGATGCTACTTTGTAGTGTTATAAATAAATTTCAAGGAAAAAATAACATCAGAGCAGGAATGTTTCGAGACTATTAGGGTTGAGAGGGTGACTACTGAGAAGATAGGATTCACGACATTTAGAGGAGGTCGACCCTTTGATAAATGCTACTTTGGTCGAAAAGAAAAATGTCGATTGATAAAAATATTGATAGTAAAATGTTGAAAAACAAGATGTCGATAGGTAAAAATGTCAAGAACGTGGGTGAAGAGAAGACTCTAATACCTACACCCAAAAAATGCTAAATATACTCAATCTAAAAATTTTTCTAGATTATCTGAGTAACAGATATGATGTTGAACATAATGTTGTTTTCGTTTAAGAATTGTGTAAGTCGATTTTTCAGTAGATGTTGTGATTTCGAACAATATTGATATAGTTCATTTTCTATTCTTATCATGAATGCGTTGTCTCAATGTAATAAGGTTTCTTAATAATTACTTGAACTTCCTAGAATTTAACCTTGTTCTTTTTTTTAATAACAGTTTATTTATAATACTAAAAAAGTTTTTGAAGTCGAACTTAGAGTCAAATAGAAAACGCTACCGGACTCGGAACCAAAAAAAGATTTTTTTTTTTTATGTCTAAGCTGAGACCAGAGCTGCAAAAATAAAACTTTTCCCAGTCAGAATTAGGTTTTTGGATCAAAAACTTTGACTCTACAGGAAAATAGGTATCGAATGTATTTTGTGGAAATGGCATATTTCTATGATTGATTTGGGGTATAACTTTGAATTTGATATTCTATTTCCTCTAGATCTTCGATTTTTATCATGATAGAAATGTTCAATAAGAAAAACAACAATTTACTTTTATGTTGAACAACCAATTGATATGATGGTACAGGTTCTAAATTCTCTGATTCATTACCAGTATCGTCACCTGATTGTACATCCTTTTTATCAGCAGTCTTATTAAATAAGCCAAGTTTTTTCTTTTTCTTTTTTTCATGATCCGATATATTACCCTTAATATAATCAAATAAATAAAAAAACAAAAAATATATTTTTCTTAAACTTACTCGATTATTATCCTGATTGAAATTTACACGTTTTTGTCTAGCTCGTTCTTTTTTTTCTACTCTTGATTTTGATGGAATTATTCCGGTTTCTTCTTCTCTACCATCAATAACACGTTTTGCTTGCCACCAAGAATCATCAGCAGCATTTATTACATGAAGAATATCACCCGCACGAAATGCTATACCAGGACTACCTGGTAAACTTGGATCTCTTGTTGGATCATAATCAAACTCCGCTCTAAAGAATAACAGAACTATTTGTTGTTTTTTTTTTATATATAAAATTAACAAATTCTACCGAACAAAAAATTGTTTTCGTGTTGAAGTCTTTACATTAACTGTACTACCAGATGGTTCAGTTGTTAGTCTATTACGACGTTCGTCATTACGAGCTTGACATTGAAGAAAATCTATAAAGATCAAAAAATATAAAATGATTAAGTTTGAGAAATAAATTAACCATTATATCTATGAATAACATGTAAATTCGCTGTATCACCACAGTTGTTAAGTACTCTTCCCAGCTCTTCATGAGATGCTGCTTGTAAATCAATATTGTTGACAGATAATATTCGATCACCTTTACGTAATTGTCCTGATTTATCGGCTACACCGCCAGATGGAATAAACGATATAAATGTACCTTTTAAAACAAAAATATTTTTAATATCAAAACAATAATAAACAACAACAACAAAATATATAAAATACCTTGTCCACCTTCAGAACTAATAATATTGAAGCCAAAACCATTTGGACCACGTCGAAGTAACACTTGACGTTCACTAAATAAGTATAATACAATTAATTTATATCAAATCTTTTTTTTTTCATAGAGATTTCATAAAAGTTAATAACAACATATTCTCACATTTTCTCAATTCGTCATACTCAATATAGACATATATTAGTGTTAGTATCTGTAAAATCTAATGTCATTGATAGAGTAACAAATATTCTACATTAAATTAATATAAAATTTTTCTTTTGAAAAAAAAGAAAAAAGAAAATTAATTTTATATAAAAACAAATCCATATATTCATAGTAATAATCAAATAAAATTCTTCTAGTGGAATAACAAGAAAGACAGACCAAACAATTATCGACTCATTTTTTTTTCCTTCATATAAACAAAAAACAACAAAATTTAATTTCAATTTATTATAAAAAAAAATCATTAATCTATTTTTAACTTACAGAGAAAATTCTTCTTGTTCATCATTAGTCGTTAATCGAGGTCCATTAGTTTCATTTCTTGATATTAATTGATTTTGAATAGAAGTATTAGCTGATTGAAGTTGCGTATTTAATGAATAAACAGTTGGATGACCAACTATTAAAGTTATTTTCGGACCATCATCACATGCACGTCGAATAGATTCAACAGCATGTTTATGTTCAACAAATTCAAGTTCATAAGTATTTTTCTGTATAGAAAAAGATATTCATTGAAGACAAAAAAAAAATATTAAATTATTTTATACCATTGATAGTACACTCATTAAACGATCACCAACTTTTAATTTTCCATTTTTATCGGCAACACCACCTGGAATTATATTTGTTATAAATATACCATAATCACTAAAAAAATTTTTTTTTTTTGTTGTTTTTAATTTCTATTTTATTATTTTAAACAATACAAACCCTTTAACATGTTCATGACTAATTCCACCAGCAATTGAAAAACCTAAATGAACATTTGGTGATTTTTCTAATACAATTTCTTCCATAATTGGTGGTGCTAAACGACGAATTATCTAAATAAATTTATTTAGAAATTTTATTTTATTTTATTTTTTTGAATATAAAACATACTAAAATAACTGGACTTTCAGCTGCTTTAAGTGTATCAACTGCTGCTTGATGTTCAATATTAGTAAAATCGATATTATTAACACGTAAAATTATATCATGAAGTCTAATAATAAAATCAATAAGACAGATAAGAAGTTATCTAATCTTACTTCAATCGATGATCACTATCGGCAAGACCACCTTCAGTAATACGTGTAACAACAACTGCCCAAGAATCACTAATACATGGTGTATCTTTACCACCAGCTATGGAAAATCCTAGACCTTTGCCAGGCATCTAATTTAAATATATAAAACAAAACATAAAAATTCTTTTCTTAATATTTACTCGTTGAAAATCAATTTTGATATTTGTCCAATGATCATTATAATTAAGTTCGGGTACATCAGTAGATAAATTTAAATCTGTTGTATTTTGACGAATAGTTGAATCTGGTGCATTTTTTATTTGAGAAAATGGTGTTGGTGTTGGTTGTCGTTTAATATCTTCTTTAATATTTGATGTTGGTATTAGTGGATTATCGGTTATAATTGGTGTTAGTGTTGGTGGTTGTTCCTTAGTAGTTGTTGTTGTTGTTGTTATTATTGGAATATTCTATAGTAAATAATTTTAGCAAATTAAATATAAAGACAAGAAAAAAGTCTTTACTCGTATATCTTGTCTAAGTAATGATGATTTTTCGCATGTTTCAGCAAATTGATGTGTTGCATTTATTTTAGCTGTACGATCTCTTTGTTCATCAAGTAAAATAGATTCATAAAATTCTTGAATATCTAATTTAATTAAAAGAAAAAAAACAACAACAAATATTTAATGTTTTTAATTTAATAAATAGATGTATATACATACCCATAAGTGCTTGGAAAAGACGACTTTTAAAAACTCTGATAACTCTAAAGAAAAAAACAAAATAATTCGTGTAAATTTCTTTCTTTTTTCTTTTTTTTTTTTGTTTGTACTTCATTAGTAAAGAAAACAATATCTAATTTTCTATTAAAAAATTAAAGATTTATTCATGATGGCCCGGAAGCATATTATTTACCTGTCAATGGCATTTTTTAATGGTTGATCTTCGGGTGCGTCCAGACGATTATAATATTCTTCAAGCAATTCTAATGCTCGATAAGCATCTAATAATGAATAAATGATTACGTTTTGCGGATTTTTTTCTTTATTTATAATTTACCTTGTTTTCGAACAGGCATCTCGTCGAGCTTAAAAATGGTGAATTTACATCTAGCAGAAAAAAAAGCTTCTCGTATGACAAGAACGAAAAGAAAATTAATCCTTCATGCAATATTATAATGGTTAGAGAATGAAGAGAAAAAAAAAGAAATTGTTCTGTTTTATTTTCTTTTTAACCTTGAGGCAATCGTCAAATATCACAAAAAAAAGAAGAAAAAATGATGTATACATAAGATCTTTAGGGAAATGTCTAAATGAATGTTAAAAAAGTCAATAATATATTAGATAAGAAACATCGTTCGCCAAAAAATTTTCTATTAATTTATAGAAATAAAAACAAAAATAGAAAAAAAAATATTAGTTATATTTATTCTTTTCTATGTTGATTTAGTACCCTTATCACTTTTAGACACATAGCTTTCACACAGTTTTATATAAGATGTTAATCATATTAATTAGTATGTAAACTGTGTGTAAAGTGAATAAATACTTATTGAGTTTTTCTTTACTTAAGATCTTTTACTATTTCCATTGATCACTGTGGTAACGAGATCACATTGAAGACAAGCAATCAATCGATAAAAAAAAAAGAGTAAAAGAAGACGATTTTTAACTACGACAGAAAAAAAATAAATACATAGCTCATAGAAAGAAAAAAACAGGATGAAAAAACTGAATGAAAGAAGTTTAAAAAAAGAAAAAAGAAAAAAAATAGAACAGAACGGAATTGGACATTTTACATCAATATACATATCCTCTTTATTTTCATTGGACTTATTAGCAATCCATCTTCTTAATTGACTATCATTCAAGGATATCTATTTTGAGGTTGTCAGAAGTGAACCAAACTCGACGTGAACCAAAGTCGAATCCACAGTCCATATTTCACCTATCTTGACTGATAATATGAGACAGCTATCGAAAGATGTCGTGCATGATTGGATTGTTTTCCATTGTATCTAATATTTCATGTTTTCTTCACTTCTTTTCATTTTTACGGTTTTTTTTATTAGTAAATGATCGGTTGACATTGATTATGTGTTCTGAAATCCAGAAGTTGGAATTCAAAATATTCGATGAACAATAGCTCAATATCATACGATAAATTTCGTTAAATAAGAATCTCCTATTCCGAAGTATAGTAGTCAAATTTTGAATGCCTTTGCCACTTTAGTGTCACTTGTTAGTATTGATTCATAAATATAAATATCTATCGAATTTGCTTTGTGTTCGAAGATTTATTTTCAATTTATTTCAATAATAAAAATCGAAAATATACATTTATTATCAAATGAGTTATGAAAGAACAATATAAAAAAAATTGCTATGAACATAAGTTTTAGTTACATAAGATGGTGGAAAAGAATTCAGCAACAACATTCTAGCGACTTTTGCTAGAGATACATATACCGTAAGTGAATACTACCTTGGTGTAATTTGAACATTGTCTTTACAGTCTCAATTGTTCTTTTAATCCCTTTAAATGAAGAAACGTACACTTTTTACCTCTCATTCTTTATCTTTTCTGGCTGCTGCATTAAAAGCACTATTCATTGTTTGTTATAGATGAGCACACCAATGAGAGTAATGACTTCTCAACATCATTTCATTAAGTGAAAATAATTCAATTACTTATTGATAAAAATAGTGTTTACCGTTTCTCACAAAATTGGTTAGCTGAAAAATTGAACATTTCATCTGCTTCTATATCCAATATTTTAAAACAAAACAGAAAAATAATTAAGTGGCTTTCAAATAAATCAAAAACAAAGTATTAAATAAAAGATCGAAAGTTTTCACATTGTAAAATTTGATAAATATATTTTTGATTGAATCATTGGAGAATGTTCATCAAATTCATGTGTCAAGTCCAAAACAATAATACATAAGTTGTGAATTATAAAAAGAAGTTTTGCATTCTGTTAAAAAGTTTTTGGATTCTTCAATATTCGAGGAAAGAAAGATGAATACCACAGGCAATGATCATTGACTATTTCAAAACTAGTAAAGAAGCTACTGTTTTGAAAATTTGTTACATCTAGCAAATTATAGGATGCTTCCTTTAAATGAATATCTTTTGAAACTGAACATTTCAGAATTTCTAACGATGGTCAGTTGGAAGAGATTTCCTGTAGTTCATTTTCTTCAACTTTAAGTTTATTAATGTATAAAAAAAAATACTTTCGTATTTATAAAATACAAATTTTAAATACAGATTTTATAACACTTTTTATAGAAGGAAATCTAGTGGACATATGTGCTGATGCATCAACAATAGTGGAAATCTTGAACATTGCTTCAATAAGTAAAACTATGGTAAGAAAAAGACTGATTGTGCACTTACAGAGATAAGACTAAAAATACTTACATTAACAGAAACAATACAATATTTATTTTTTGTTTGAAATTCTAGAGAAGTCACGATTATATCAATATTTCATATTCAAAACTGATCAGCATTCATAATTTTCGCAATAAAAATAGGCAGCTTTAGAACATTTTGTAAAGCAAATTATATATTATATATTGCTCATAATCTTTCAATTCGAATGCATTAAAATAAGTAAGATGACAAAATAGGACAAGAAATTTACTTACTGAAGAACTAGTACAGAATTTGGTACACCGACAGTTTTTGTTCTTTGTTTGAAAAAATTTACTTCATCTCTCTCAAGTCGATATATTATGATAAGCATGCCTGAAAAGTCTTGATGGTGTTAACAGTGGAGAATGAACTTATAACTTGTAACAAATGCAAAAATGCAGCAAAATTTAACACACATGAGCGCTTTTGCTTATATATGAACGTGAAAATTTTTCACACTATCCTCTAAGTTTAAAATTAGATAAAATGAACTCAATATTCTTTCAGCTTAAAATTAGGTAAAATATTATGCTTTTTTGGTCGAGAGTAGCTGATAAACTTAAATTTGATAACGATCAGAATATTGCAAAATAAGCACGATATGTGAGCATGCAGCTGTATGAATTCTTACGACATAAATGTTGTTTTAAAATTATTCTAAGATTCAGTCAACATACAATTGGCAGTAATTAATCTCGCCACTAATATAACTTTTAAAATCTTTTCTTCATTGACAATGATTAATTTTTATATCTGAAAACAAAAAAAAAATAAGTATCAAATAAGAGATTAGATGTAAATTTGAAGTAGAATCATATTATTCTTGTCGATAATATTCGAAAATCACCGAATTATACAACACTCTCTGAATTAGTTCAAAGTTTGCACCTGAAAAAAAAACAGAAAATTAAGAAACCGACAATTCATGTTTATGATGTACATTGTCTGCTATTCTATTATGTCTCTATCGCGTTGAAAAAGAAAAATATCATTTTGGATGGTTGTAAAACATGGACTTTTCATCTGATTGGCTTATAACTTCTATATGAAATGAGCCTATTGACTTTGGCTCACATGTTTGGCTCACTTCTGTGGACCCTATTTTGAATAATAATATAAATGAGTAATAGTTTTAATAAAGAATAGATGTCACTTGAAGTCGATTTAAATAAAATGTTAAATATGTTGATTGTTGATTACGTGTCAACAGAATTAATTGTCAATATATATCTCATTCGACATTATATAAAGAGTAATATAACGATCATAAACTGCAATCACAACATTCGAAGAAGAATAAGAATAGAAAAATTTCTGTTCTTAAATACATATCATTAATAAGCACTAGTATCGTTGTTTTATTTGTAGATGAAAGTCGTTATCTATAACCTTGCACATGATTGGACTATCAACTACTATTTTTTGCATTTTTCATAGTTAATAGTTAAGTTATATTCATTATATATATATATAAAACGAAATTTTATACTCATAGTCCAACGAAAAAGAAACATCATTCTATTTTTTTTCGAATACAAATATCCATATTAACCACATTGAAAAGAATAACTCATATATATTTCGAAGTATCTCGAGGTTGCTAGAGTTGATCGGACTTATATTTTGCTAGAAAACAAATGAAAATTTTTCGTTATTCTGTTTATTTTGAATGTTTCTTTTCTGACAGAAGTTAATCTATCTATTAAGCTGTGTTGAAAGGATAGGACAGAATCTTGTTAAGAAATCTCTGACATTTTGCTCTCTATTTAATTTGTCAGTTCTCTTCAGACATCATAAACACATAACAATTTCGAAGTTCTTCTTATTATCAATGCATATTTTGAGTATATAATAAGCAGCATTGATACTAATTAGAAGCTAAAAATGAGTTCAATTCATTGTGAAATTTTTTAAAATATTAACAAAATTTTAAAGTTTTTTTTATCGTCATTTGTATTGACTGGTATACAAGACAAAGCGAAATTTCTTGTGATTAAAGTATTAAATTAATATAGTACTGCTCTAATCATATTTAGCTTTCTGAATGAAGTTTTATCGATGATAAAGTCATCTCTCAACACTCCGACTAATGAAAGCTTCCATATACTAATACTAAATCAATAAGTCTCCATTAATTATAGAATTACTAGGGTCATGCTATCATCACCTGGTATTATCAGATTATTTTTTTGAAACGTTGACTATATATATATATTGTTTATATAAAAACCTGTTTCTTATATATAAGTAAAACTTCGCGTTCATATTAAGTGTTCTAAGTTTGTCAATTATGGCCTCATATTTTGTCGAGAAGTTATTATGCAAATCAATATTTAGAATATAATACAACAATATGAATAAAAAGCCATTAAACCTAAGGAACTAAACTCAACACTTTCAAATTAAGAGAACTCGCATAATAAATTAAATTAAGTAAAACATTCAAATATAATAAACATTGTAGAACTTCTCTCAACTCAAGTAAAATATTGTAGTAACATTTTCTATATTTAATATAAATATAAATCTGTACAAAAACATTTAACTAAACTATAGATCTGTTTGTAACCGTAGTACATGACTCGTCAAAAGTATTTCTCATTAGAAATTGTTTATAGTTCAAGTCGACAAGTGGCAAACGAATGGAGAGACATA